AGCCACTGTAGAAGACAGTATGGAAGTTCTTCAAAAAATAAAAAACAGAACTAGCCTATGATCCCGTAATTGCACTACGGGCTATTTATCTGAAGAATATGAAACACTAATTCAAAGGGATACATGCACCCCTATATTTATTGCAGCATTATTTACAATAGCCAAATTAGGAAAGTAGCCTGTGTCCATCAATGATGAATGGATAAAGAAGATGTAGTGTGTGTGTGTGTGTGTATATACACACACACACAATGGATTATTTAGCCATAAAAGAATGAAATCTTGCCATTGACAACAACATGCATAGATCTAGAGAGTATAACACTAAGTGAGATATATCAGTCAGAGAAATACCATATAATTCTGCTCAAATGTGGACTTTAAGAAACAAAAGAAATGAACAAAGGAAAAAAGAGACAACCAAAAGAACAGACTTTTAACTATAGAGAACAAATTGATGGTTACCAGAGGGGAGGTAGGTGGGGATATGGGTGAAATAAGTGAAGGGGATTGAGAGTACACTTATCCTGATGAAAACTGAGTAATAGAATTGCTGAATCACCACACTGTACACCTGAAACTAATATAACACTGTATGTTGACTATATTGGAATTAAAATCTAAAAAAAAGGAAATGAAAAGGCAACTCAGAATGAGAGAAAGTATTTGCATATCCTATATTTAGTAAGGGATTTATATCCAAAATTATGAAAGACTCATAACTCAATGATAAAGAAAATCTGATTAAAATATGGGTAGAGAATCTGAACAGACATTTCTCCAGAAATATATAAATGGCCAATAAGTACATGAAAAGATATTCAACATGTGGGAAATGCAAATCAAAACAATGAGATACCAGAGTGCCTGGGTGGCTCAGTTGGTTAAGCATTTGCCTTCGGCTCAGGCCATAATCTCAGGGTCCTGGGATTGAGTCCTGCATCGGGCTCCCTGCTCAGCAGGGAACCTGCTTCTCCCTCTGCCTCTGCCTCTGCCTCTCCTCCCTGTTCCTGCTCTCTTTCTCTCTCAAATAAATAAATAAAATCTTAAAAAAAAAAAATGAGCTACCACTTACCAGGGAAATTCCAAAATTCCTCTGAAAGAGAAAATTTGATGGAAAAATAAAGGAGCACAAGAATGAGCCATCTAAAAGCCAGAAACAAACTCAGGTATGTGTGCAAAGTTAATATGTGATAGAGTTGGCACTGTAAATTAGCAAAGAGATAATGCTGCTCAGTGTATTATTTGGCAACAATTAGCTATCTGAAGAAAATCAAACTGAATCTATACATGACACATGATAAATTCTAGATAAAAGTGTAAAGTTAATCATAAAAAAGCTATAAATATAACAGAAGAATATATATTGTAATACCTTTGTTATTATTAAGACAATATTACTAAGCAAGAAATAGTATTCAGATTTATTATTAAGATACAAATCCTGATAAAAAGAAAGGGGAAGAGTTGACAAATTTAAGTGAATTAAAAATTTTAAAAATTTAATAAATCACCATAAAGCTAAAAGGCAAACATAATAGGAATGAAGTTCTACATTTTTTTTTAGCAAAGGATTAGTTTTTAGAAAACCTAAGAACTCCTACAAAGCAAGAAGAGCCATAAATATAAAATAAAGTAAAAAGCAATCATAAGACAGAAGCAGAAACTACAGAGAAACACAAATATAATGCCACCTACCACATAAGTCTAAAATATACACAACCTCACAATTAGGAGAGCATTTTTTCCCATTAGATCAACAAGTATTTAAATATGTGTTAACACTCAGTATAGCAAGCTTACAGGGAAATGAGTATTCTAAACACCAATGGTAGAATTATATAAATTGTTACAGCCTCATGAAGGGCACCACACATTAATTTTAAAATGCATAAACTCCTCAGCCAAGCAATTCCACTTCTAGGTTATCTATTCTAGAGAAATAGTTACAGATGTACATAAAGAGTTACAACATTCAATACGTTCACTGCATCTCTGTCTTAATCTATAAGAATTGACACCTCAGTGCTTATCAGTATGGGGAAAATTAACCGAGTTAGGAAAAATTCATAGTATTCAAAATATTAAAGAATGAGGTATATAAGAGTGATATTAAAAGTTCCAGTGGTACTGTAAAAAAACCAAGCTTCATAATATATGCATCATGATCAGACTTACATTTAAAAAATAAACATCTATGGCTGTGTTCAGAAATTAGGAAGGATATCTACCTAGTGGTTATGGATTTTATCCCTAGGAAGGAGAGGTTGGTGTGGGAGGTACTAATGGGGGATACTTTATTTTTATCCTATATACCTCTATATTATTTGAGTATTTACAATGATAATATTACATGATAATCTAAATTTAATAAACCTATAACTGGAATTACATGTTGAAAACCTATAATTAAAGAGCCACCCAAAAGCCCAGCATTCAGAGCACCAAACATTCATCTGTTGTTGGTGCATATTCTTCCATTTTATGATTATACATTTCATAGCCAATACCTTTTTACATCTGAAATTTTATGTTCTTTCAAAAGTTAACATTATTTCATGAGGATGTTCCCTTATTAAAAAAAAAAAAAGTTTCCTCATCTACTGACTAAGGCAATATAGTCATCTTATGTATTAAGAAAAGCATTTCCTTTGTTCGTCTTTTTGTGGTTCATGTGAGAATTATCCTTGAATCATAGTCCATACATGTGATAAAGATGATCAGTGGAAAGCTAAGTGAGGTCACTGGAGTTGAAGTGTCTGCTTTTCCTTAACCTAAACTGAGGAACTTCAAGGACAACATAAACCACTTCTGCCTCTTTAGAATCAATCAGATAAATGAGACAGTATAGTACTTGGTAAGAGCTCAATAAACAGCTGTTTTAAGAATTATACTCTATTTCTTTTTTTTTTTTTATTTTTTGAATTATACTCTATTTCAATGTGAAAAGTACCTAGTGGCAACTTCTATATTTGTAAGTTTAGAAATACGTACCAAGTCGATCACAACAATGTACATGTACTTAATGCCACTGAACTGTACACTTAAAAATGGTAAAACGGTAAATTTTGTTATGTATATTTTACCACAATACAATAAGCTTAAAAGCTATACTAATTAGTAGAGCCTATAATAAAAACTCATCACTTATTTGATATTTGATTGAAGCAGGTTACCAGAAATTCCAGATCAAGCCCAATCCAGTAAGTCAGCAACAAAGTATGAATCTGTGTGTTATAAAATAAGTGCTCTAGGTGCACCCGGGTGGCTCAGTTGGTTAAGCGTCTGACTTCAGCTCAGGTCATGATCCCAGGGTCCTGGGATCAAGTCCCACATTGGCTCCTTGCTCAGTGGGGAGCCTGCTTCTCCCTCTGCCTGCCACTCCCCCTGCTTGTGCTGTCTCTCTCTCTCTGACAAATAAATATTAAAAAAATAAAAATTTGCTTTCACCTCTCTTAGAATCTAGGGTTTCAAAATTACTGAACAGTTTTCCACTTATCTTCATTTCTTACACGTAAATCACCAAAGGCTTATTCTGAACGTAGGAGTAAAAAGAATAAATACAGCTTATTTCGTTAACACAAAGTTCGTGAGTAAAAAGTCAGTGGAGCCTATGTTTGAGATATTTATTCATGAGACCCTAACATATCCTATGAAATGCTAATATTTAAAATTTAAATCTCAGGACACCTGGGTGGCTCAGTCAGCTAAGCGTCTGCCTTCGCCTTGGGTCATGGTCCCAGGGTCCTGGGATCGAGTCCCACATCAGGGTCCTTGCTCAGCGGGGAGCCTGCTTCTTCCTCTGCCTGCCACTCCCCCTGCTTGTGCTCCTCTCTCTCTCTCTCTGACAAATAAATAAAGTCTTAAAAAAAAAATTAAAAAAATTTTAAATCTCTAAGGTTACAATGGGAATAGTTATTAAGGTAGAACTTCTTGGGGTACGCTCAGTCAGGTAAGCGTCTGACTCTTGGTTTCAGCTCAGGTTATGATCTCAGGGAGAGATTGAGCCTGCAGAGGGCTGTGTGCTGAGCAGGGAGACTACTTGAAGATTCTCTTCCTCTGCCCCACCCACCCTCGCGTGCATATGCGCACATGCACTCGCATGCGCTCTCCTCACTCTATTTTTTTTTTTTTTTTAAAGGTAGAACTTCCGGCCATAGGCTGTGAATGTCCTGGAACCCTGGACTCACCGTGATCTAAGCCAGAGTTTATATTTGGACAGTTATTCTGAGAACTGTAATATTACTAGTTCTGGGCTGATGAATGAGTCTACAGATGAACTGAGTGTACAAGCAGATACACTATTTAAAAAATTGCTGAGAATTTATGAGAGCTTTTAAAGTGTGAGTATATTCTTTCTCTGTCCTTATAACTAGAAGAAATGTGTTTGATATCAGTGGAGATTAGTAGGTTAATAGGAGAGTTAAAAGAAAAGTCCCTGGATTGCAAAATCATGTTTCACATATCAACAATTAAGGAATTAACAAGGAAAAGGAAATATGAAGTTTTACAAAAATTCTGCTATAGCACCCGCCAAGGAGACAAGTTTATTTCTAGTCTAGTTAATGCCTAGAAAACAAATGTAGCAAAGGCTAATTTTCCTGTCACTGACATACTGAGCCTGTATTTTTCTATTAGCAATGATTTTATCAATTTAAAAAATTATGCAATATATTATACTCCTTCCCTTTCTGCTAATCAATGTTTCAGATTAAAAATTTTTAAATGCCCTTTTTAGTGAAAGTAAAACTTATTTCCAGAATTTTATATAAGGTTGTTGGAAATATTATAAATTGTGGTTTTCATGAGAATGCGTTATCTGCCTTATTCAACACTGGGATGAAAAACAAGGATAAAATGCCCAATAGCAAGCTAGAACTCCTCTACCACAAATTGGTTGACTTTTCAGTCTGAAATACGATTCTACAACCCAAGTAATTTCAGGCAGCGATAAAGAAAAAGTGGCATGTAATATTAACAGCAAAACTCCACTAACTTACTGAAAGCAATTTGGCCCAAACACAGTGGCGAGGTTGTGGACATTCATGCGATTCTGCACATGGTGCTTGGCTACTTTTGTCAAGAACCGGCACAGGTACTTGAGGAGGCAGTAGTGGGTGTCTGGCAGCTCTTCTATTAAGTCTCTTAAACTACTCTCCTGAGCATCATTTCTGTCATCTGGAAAGAAAAAGGATAAAAAATGCTCTCAGGCATATTTCACAGTAACAAAAACAAAAGCACAGAGGCATAATAAGGTCTAACATTTTATTCAGGAAAAAATTCCTGAAGACTTAAATCAGCCATTGGAAAAAGAGGGGGGGGGCAGTTTTGCCTTTTCTTTCATTTTTGAGCATTTAACTTTTTTTAATGTTAAAGATTTACTAACTTATTCAAGACATCCTGAAAATCATGACCTTTACTCAGTGCATAAAATGGGTTCATATTTCACTTCTGTGTGTTCCTTACCCAAAATTAAGGTAAAGGTTGGCTTTTTATCCATAGTGGAGCCTCCTATTTGATTACTGTCTTCAAGTTGGTTAAAAAACAAGAATCTCTTAGTTGAATAAAATTTAATACAAGAGACATTCCTGGATCATCATGAACAGGACTCAACTTAGTTGTCAGGAAATCTGTAGCTAGAGAAAAATGAAGGAAACTTTTAATTTTTTTTTTAAAGATTTTATTTATTTATTTGACAGAGAGAGACACAGCGAGAGAGGGAACACAAGCAGGGGGAGTGGGAGAGGGAGAAGCAGGCTCCCCGCAGAGCAGGGAGCCTGATGTGGGACTCGATCCCAGGACCCTGGGACCATGACCTGAGCTAAAGGCAGTCGCCTAACCAACTGAGCCACCCAGGGGCCGGAAACTTTTAATTTCTATATAGCTTTTTATCTCTCCCATGTCAGAGTTTAGAATTTGATATGTGCTTCTCATACAAAAACCAAAAATATCTTACAGTGAGCCAAAATTCAGACATATGAAAAGTTTCCTTCAATTCTCAAAGATTTATGTGTTTTGTCAATATCTAAATACAGTCCTTTTAGGCACATGTCTAAGGCAATGAAAACTTAATCCAGTTACTACTACTATACATTGGATTCCTTAATTTACATAGGTCAGCTGCTTTAGCCAGTCAAGTGAATAAGAAACAGTAAAGTGAGGCAAATGTGACACAAAGGAAGTGGATTTGTCAGTGGTACAAAATTTATGCATAGCATTAGGCCATCGAAAGAAGTGAAAATCCAGAAAACATGCAGAAAGTCACAGAAACTGCTGAGTGGCTGCAGAGCAAGGATTAGGAAGGTAGGCTCAGGAGTCACTTTCTGGGTTAGGATCCTGGTTCTGCCACCTGCCACCTTTGTGACCTTAGACTCTATACTAAACCATTTCCTCATTTATAAATGGAAATACTAACTACCTCATAGGGTTGTGATGAGGATTAAGAGTTTCAATTTGCAAAGTACTTAAAACAGAGAGGTTGACACATGGTAAGCATTATGTAACTACTTGTTAAACAGAGTAACTTCTTTTACTTTACCTTCATTAATTTGGTTTTATGAGAACACTGAGGTTTTAATGAAATGCTTTTAAAATGAGTCCATTTCACCCTTTTGAACGCTAGAATAAGGGATGCTGCCAAAAACAGCAATGCCAAAAATGTGTAGACTTCAATCATTGTTAAAATCGTTTTGGAGAACATTCTATATATGATTGGAGTAATTATTTCTCACAGATCACCAACAATGTGATCCAATAATCTATACAAGGTTTATGGAAAAACAGTTTTCTTGATATTAGAAAACTTTCACATTAAATTACTTTAAAAAGAGAAATCATATACAAATACTTTGATAATCCCTAAAAACATGTGGTGTGTTGCTTATGATGGCATTATTTTCCACTGAATTATGATGTTGACTATGTAAGAAATGGAAATAATTAAGTTTGGAGTAAAAACTTAAAACTACCCATTTCTCATACCTTTATGGTTAGAAATAAATATGATCTATAAGAAAATGAATTCTATTTCGTCTTTTTAATTTTCTTACAGTGACTAATCCAAAGTGAATCTGGATGTTTTCACGGGTGTGTACTGTCTGTTTAAAACTGTGGTTTAATTCCAGCATTTAAGGATACAGGCAACAGCATTCCAACAGCCTTGATAATGGGCCGTTCGTCTTCTGGCTCTGAAATGAAACCTCAAATCCTAAGGCCAGCAATGTGTGAAGACACCAGATTGAATAAAAACAAATACTGAAAACAGTTATGAGTGGGGCGCCTGGGTGGCTCAGTCGTTAAGTGTCTGCCTTTGGCTCAGGTCATGATCCCAGGGTCCTGGGATCAAGTCCCACATCCGGCTCCCTGCTCTGCGGGAAGCCTGCTTCTCCCTCTCCCACTACCCCCCGCTTGTGTTCCTGCTCTCACTATCTCTCACTATCTCTCTCTCTCTAACAAATAAATAAAATTAAAAAACAAAAAAAAGAAAACAGTTACAAGTTTATGACAATAACATCTTTGAAAGAGCGGGAGCACTTTCATCATTTATTTCCAATTTTTGAAATATGATAAATAATTTTCCCAGGAAATAAAACTGACAATAGGAAGGGAGACAGATACATTCAGAAAATCTCAAACTTAAAAAAACAACATAATTCCTTTAGAGAATGAATGGCAGAATCAACAAATATGTTCTCAACAAGAAAAAGTAGTTGAGGAAAAAGTATCTTCTGTTTCCTATGATGGAAGACAGATTCAGTGATTGACTCACTAAGCGAGTATGTCAGTGTCCTCTGCCTCAGAGGTTGTAACGGCAACACGCTCACTTTGAACCCTGAATATTCATAATTTACCTCCCAACTCTGTTCAAATATACTGACAGTGCAGTAAAGACCTTGATTTATTAGCATAACATTTCTTGTCACATCTTTTCCTACTAATTATGTGTTAACATACTGAGAATCTGTAATTTGTGCTGTTTCTGGAAATGTGATAAATATCACTGCTACACTCAGCCTGCAGCCCTCTTATAGACAAGATTTCCAATACATGAGAATAATTGCTCAACACCTTTAAAAGAGGCTGCTAGGGGTGCCTGGGTGGCTCAGTCCATTAAGCATCTGCCTTCAGCTCAGGTCATGATCTCAGGGTCCTGGGATTGAGTCCTGCATCAGGCTCTCTGCTTGGTGGGGAGTCTGCTTCTCCCTCTCCCTCTGTTCTCTTTCTTTCTGTCTCTCTCCCTCTCACTCTCTCTCAATAAATAAAATCTTTAAAAAAATGTTTTAAAAAAATTAAAGAGGCTTCTAGAGGTTGCCTAGCACAGCAAGTGGGGGCAGGGGTGGTTGGAGGGGAAGCAGTATTGGTATAAATGTGCCTTTTGATTCCTGAGAGCAAAAGCTTATAATAATTATTTTATTATTGCTTGCATTATTTTTTGATTTGCTGATACCTAAATATAATAAACACTGCCTTGCCATTCATGTTCTTGCACTGATATTGGTAATCACAATGGCTTCAAGGTCTCATATTATTAAAAAAGCAAGCAACGCTTCTATTTTTGTGAACATTTATTCATTATACTTATGCTATGTGTGATATTTATCACATGCTTTCTGTGGTCTGGCATTCTCTAGGGATACAGCACTGCAAACAAACTTTTATAAAAGTTATAATATAATGGGAGAGACAGGCAGTAGTCTAATAACATATATGTGAGTGGTAACATAAATGCTCTGAAGAAATATAAGGCAGGACAATGAGGAATAAAGCAGAGTGATATGGGGGTGGGAACGTTCACTCAGCATGATCTGGGAAGGCCCCTCTGACATGGCGACAATTAAGCAGAGAGCTGAAGGAAAGGGGGGAGCGCATGCTAAGCAGTAGAAACAGCAAGGGTGAAGGCCAAGTGTTGGGAGAGTGGCAGGAAATGAAAACAGGAGACAGTGGAGGAAAGAGCTAGGGAAGATCATTACAGTCTTATTATAAACCTTGTTCCCTCCTCTTCAACCCTGAGCGAGGGTTTTGAGCTATGAGATTGTTAAAAGGAACACTCTGGTGATGGGTATTAAAGAGGGCACATACTGCATGGAGCACTGGGTGTTATATGCAAATAATGAATCATGGAACACTACATCAAAAACTAATGATGTATGGTGATTAACATAATAAAAAAATGATATATGGCCTCTATCCTCAAAGGGTTTTACTCTAGTTTGGGAAGATAGAGAACATATATTAAATGTAGTTTGCATAATAAAACAATTTTAATGTTGCACCAGAAAAAAAAAAAAAAGGACCACTCTGGTTGCTGTGTTGAATCTGGACTGTAGGGGGCGCAGTGGAAAGCCGGGGGCTGACCTGGGAGAGGCCAGTCCCAGAGAGAGAGGCTGGTTGCCTGGAGCAGGTTGATCACAGGGAGATGGTAAGGCAGGGGCCAATTCTGGATATAGTTTGTATCTTGTCTGTTTTACACATGGAAGTTGTTTGTTTTATATATGAAAAATGCATGCATGGAATACACATTCAGTCATTCAACAAATATTTACTGAGTGGCTATTCTGTGCCTGGCACGATTCTAAGCATTTGGGATATATCAGAAAACACAAACAGAAATCCCTGCCCTCAGGGAACTTATATTCTAGTAGGTGCGACCTTAAGCAATAAAAACAGAATTCAGAGCACCAGTCGGGGTGAGGGTGGTGATTACAATATAAATAAGATTGTCAGCAAGGCCTCATTGAGAAAATATTTGATGTTTATTGGCAGTTAAAAAAAATCCATAAACTAGCAAATGTAAGCTCATTCAGAGTTGGTTGGGGGCTGAGGTTTAAACATCTTTTAAATGCCTTGCATATAAAAAGTGATAGTTTTAATAGACTGAAACACACTTTTAAGATACACAGATAGTAACACAAACTAGTATACAAATAAAGAGACATCTATATTCCAAATATATCTTGAAGAAATAAATACTTTAGTCCATTTATACAACTAGCTGAGCTGAAGTGTTAGGTAGGAAGGGGATCAGAGTATTCAAATGATAACAAAAGTTGTCATTTGGTGGTCAGAGGATAAGGATATTCAGCAATGAAATTCCACAGAATGGTCTCTGAAACAGAAGTGAAATGTACCTCTGCAGTTGTATTAAAATATTTTAACTGTTGGGGCACCTGGGTGGCTCA